AGGCCACCATCTGTAACTCCCTTCAAATTTGACATTTTTTATAATTTTTTCATAGCATTAAATGTGGCCTAGTTTCGGATTTCTAGGCCACCACTTATCATATTCGCGCCTTCCTTATCAAAAATGACCAAACTACTGTCTCCTTCACAGTAAACGGATACTGAGCAATCATCGATCTCTATAATTGGTTTGCTAATGGCGTGCCCAAGTTTATTGAATAGACAATAGGCCCAATAGAATTTATTCTATTCAGAAATCAATGATGAATGCAATCGAATGCAATCATTTATTCAAGTAAAATTTGAGACAGAAAAGTATAAAAAATTGATAATTGGTTCATCAATTGGTGGGTTCCTAGGAGCTGAAATATATATTTTTTTTGATTGAAAAAACCCTTAAAAACACTACGCTGCATTGGATAGCATGCAATATACGCAATTGGGACAGTTTCAGTAATATTCTTCCCATTTACTGCCATTTGAACTGTGAATCGGCTCGTATTTAGATCGCATTCCAATTTGAGACTTCTCTGCTGAAAAACCGAATCCATAGTTGTTTTTTTTTTTGAAAAATCGACAAAAAAGTGAACATTTTGGCTAAAAATAACTCACCGAAAATTCATATCCGTCTGGAAATATTACATACTTAAGGTAAGGACATTCAAAACTTGTAATACACGAATTTTCATCATATGTGAAGGATTCGGGTTCTTGCAATATGATCATTGAGAGATATCCGATTTTGCTATGATTTGATAAATGCTGTTTGATATTATCAGAATCCAGAAGTACAGAAGAACACTGGCATTTGTCAATTCTATTAGCTGCAAGAACAACTACAGTAACCCGAAAATCCAATTATACCTACCGTAATCCACACATACAGCATCCATCTTGTCAAAAGTCTTCATTTCGGACCCTTTTTCTATTATCCATTTCTGTTTGTATGGGTCACAGAATCCGTCAGCAGCATAGGCTCCGAACGGAAAAATTTAAAATTACAAAACTTTTTTCGAAATTGAAAAATTTCAATTTATAGCCAAGTTATGACCATTTGAAAGTTGATGGCCTAGAAAACCAAATTTCGAGAAAACTCGGTCATTTTTATTATCATTCGATTCTATATATCTTACTGGTTCTGATCATGTTTTAAAAATTCAGAAATATTGATTTTGAAGCAAGTTACAGCCGTTTGTAACCGGTGGCCTAGAAATTGAAAATCCTAGGCCCCCTTCGTAACTCGCCTCAAGATTAAGATTTTTGAGTTCTGAAAACTGTATTACCTCTAGCTAAATATGTCTCACAATTATAAATAAATCGCGGCCGAGTTTTTGCACCATTTGGTTTTCTAGGCCACCATCTGTAACTCCCTTCA